TAGTGGGCATGGTGGTGTTGGGTTGACGGTTGGACTCGACGATCTTAGAGGTCTCTTCCAACCTTAATGATTCTATGATTCTAAGAAGGCTTCGTCAATAGGCTCCCCTTGATTGGGCGGCCTGTAGTAGACACCAATTCACAAGGTTCCCTTTGTTGCCTCGGTCTCTAATTCTTACCCATAAGCTTTCAGCGTGCCCGTGGCTATTCTTCAGAGGCAGCTCTTCCCACTCTATCCATTTCTTGATGTAGAGGGCACCCCCTCCGCCCCTCCTTCCTCGCCTGTCCCTTCTGAACAGCTTGCAGCCATCGATAGTCGCACTCCAGTCATGGGATTCGTCCCACCAAGTTTCAGTAATGGCAACTAGGTCATAGCTTTCTAGCAGCACGGGGGGTTCCAGCTCCTGTTTGTTGCCCATGCTGCATGCACTGGTGTAGAGGCACTTCAGCTGGGCTGTTGGCAGTGTCATCTTCTTAGGGGAACAGCCCTTAATTCCTTTGAGGTATTTCACTGGTGTTTCCCTGTTGGCTCCTGTCACCTCAGAAGCCCCTGGCTCATCTCCGTAAGACTTCAAGTGCGCTCCAGTGTAGCCAGCACGTCCTCTTAGGGGAACAGCCCTTAATTCCTTTGAGGTATTTCACTGGTGTTTCCCTGTTGGCTCCTCACCTCAGAAGCCCCAGTTCATCTCCGTAAGACTTCAAGTGTGCTGCAGTGTAGCCAGCACTTCTCAGAGCAACAGGCTGAGGGCCCTCACTAGCACCCCATTCCTCTAACCTTGGCGTGTCATCCCACAGCTTGTCACAGGCAAGCTTGATATTATCCCCCTCCCCCTTCAAGTCTAGTTTAAAGCTCTTTTCAATCAGCCCCACTAGCTCGTGAGCAAAGACCCTCTTCCCCCTTTGAGAAAGGTGAATCCCATCCGATGCCAGCAGGCCTGGTGCCGTGTAGGCCATCCCATTATTAAAAAACCCAAAATTGCAGCGGTGACACCAGCCACGGAGCCATGTATTAATAGACTGGGTGCGTCTGTTTCTTCCAATGTCGCCGCCCGCAACTGGAAGGAGAGAGGAAAAAATAACCTGTGCTCCAGATTCCCTCACCAGCCGTCCCAAGGCCCTGAAGTCTCTTTTGATTGCCCTTGGACTACACGTTGCGGCTTCATCGCCGCCCACGTGGAAGAGCAGTAATGGGTAGTAGTCCAAGGGCCGTACCAGGCCAGGAAGTTTCCTAGTGACGTCCCTGACATTTACATTTTATTTGTTTTAATGTAAGGTAGTGCAATTTATTTTCTCCAGAACTACTTAGGTTATGCTCATCTCTCTTGGCTCTGGTTAGAGTTTCATGAAATAGAATGAAAAATCTCATTCTCCGAGCTCTAACTTCTCTGAATATAAATGTCTCATTTCCTTCTCAGATACGCTATTTAGTTTTGGATAGGATGTTCAGAATTACTTTTTTATTACTTCTTCAGTCTTAAAAATACACACTTAAAGTACGTATCTACAAAGAATTAGTAATAAGAGACTGGAACTCTAACATATAGGGGATCTTCAGTCTTAAAAATACACACTTAAAGTACGTATCTACAAAGAATTAGTAATAAGAGACTGGAACTCTAACAAATATAGGGGATTTTTTTTTTCTTTTTTTTAAAAAAAAAGCTTTCTTTTAAGAAGAAATATTGTTAAGCATAACTGACAAGAAAAGCTTGTAGCCAAAGCAAACTAAATATGATGTCCGGTCTCAGGGACTATGGTCCATCGTTCTGATACAGAACAGTCCTCAATGCTTAGGCAAAGCTAACACTAACTTTTCTCCCTGAAGATGACAAAAAGCAAGCTATAAATTATCTCATAGAAATGATACCTCACAAAAATAAAAGTGTTTATCCTCAAACAAGTCACACAAGCAGCCAATAGCAAAATGTTCAATCAAACATTAGCTTAGGGAACATGCTTTCCAATCTGTAGCTAAGGGGAAGATACCAAATAAAGACAACCAAAAAAAAAAGAAAAAAAAACAAACTGGAAAAAAAGAGGAAGACTGTTTTATACACATGCATGTTAAAAAAAAAATCTATTGGACAAAAATTAAACAAACTGAAAAACAAGGCTTGGTGTCCTAAGTAGATGCCAAGTAATATTCCAATCATGAAAAACACCACCAATTCACTAGCAATCTGAAAAACTACAAATGATGGACAAACTCTAGGGTGTCATGACTCACACCAGTCCAACGACAACATGGAATACGTGGCACGATAAAAAAAAAAAAACAGTGTGAGCAAAAGAACTGAATCCAAACACCATACTAACTAAGCATGCAAAAAATACTGATCAAAAACCTAAACCTTTTCCAAACGACAACCCTGTCAGAAGCCCATCAATACTTCATAACTGCAAGCCTAGACCTGCAAGAGAAATAAAATTCTAAATAGGATTCGAACAACTCAAATGTGCGAGTATTCAACGGAGCCAGTAAGAACTAGTCTTCAGGAGATGCCAGATAAACTGATTTTAAACAGCAACTCCGCATTTACTTAACATTTCCATTCTTGTACATGGTAATTATTATCGAGGCAAGCAGCACGGAAAGGTTTTCAACAGGGGACCTGTCGTGCTTTAACCCCAGCCAGCAACTGAGCACC